TTGGCTAATTAAGAAGGAAGCCATGAGGTCAGTAAAAAAGCAAAGATTTTGACAGATGGGGTGCAGATCCTGGACACCCTCCAGTCAGGCGTGCCAATAAACAGCAGATGAGTTGGGCTCTCTCTAAGAATGGGGATAGAGTGCACCTCTTAACTGTCTGGTCATAGCTCTAGTAGAGAACCGAAACTACACAACCTCCTCAGAACAGCAGCTTTTAGAGGTGACAACACCCCGCTACAGCGCGGCCACTAACCACGGCTTACTGGTCTACCTACAAAAGGTGAGCTGATGGTCTATCTCACCAGCCTCTATTCTCGAAGATGCAGAGGGCTCTAAATAAGATGTGTGGGCATTTACCATAATGCAGTGTCTCTCCAATGCCATTCGACTCCAGAGCTGCAGATGCATTGGGTTCAGTTATCTATGAAACTATCCCAAGTGGCTGCCCCAGTTTCTATGATCTCATAAGTGTAAGAGAGGGTGGTCCCTGAGGCTGGATATACTTGATATGCAAATGAGTCCAGCAGGGGGAACAGAAGTGCTCTGATTGCTTCTGCTGGGCAGCCTGATGGTGATTCTGTCTGGCTTGAGATGAGAGAAAATCAGTAGCCAATGGGCAGAGCAAAAACAAAGGGACATTCAGGTCTTTGGTCACAACCCACTTGATTCCTGTTGCTCTTGTTTGACTCTGGACCTGTGGTTTCTGCACTCAGTCAGTACCTCAGGAAATACTTGCAGGCACTACAGATGGCCTCTTAGACTGACAGCCTGCTTCACTGTTAGTTTTAGGAATCACTCACGGACCCCTATTGTCGGCTGACATGTAGTATGTACCTCCATACCAGCCACTCGCCCCTGCCTCCGTGTTGTCTCACAGAGTTGATGTGTAGTACTGCCACGTGGGATGTCTACATTTCTAAGTCACCACTAGGTGTTTATTTATTTTCCCATCCATAACTGCAGCTTAAGGCTTTGCTGCTTTTGCTGTCTTTTTCTGGAACACGTGCTGCTCTCAAGATGAAATGTATACATACCCCTAACATCACACACCTTGTGTTGTATGTGAAAACTGAAAGTAAGTCCTTGTCTGATCCTGCCTCTTCTAAAACAGACTTCCCATGTTGCTAGTTTGGTTCCCAAGATTCCTGGTGAAAGGAGTTATGACTGCCACTTGCGTAATTCTTCTCTGTCTCTGTCTGTGCTGCATCTCCAACTGCCATAGAGTCTACTTATCTTCCGGACCAATGGGCTCATAGCAAGCTGCCTACACAATGGAGAGCAGATCACAAGGGGTGGGGTGTATGGATTCAGCTTAACTTAGCTGCCGCCATCCTGAGTCATAACAACCACGATTGCCGCACGCCTGACCCGAGACTGTTTTCTTGACTATTTTTTTCATAAACCAAATTATTACCTTAGTATATGGAACTTCGCAACTGGACCTCAGTGCCAGGAATGTGCCACATATTTTGGTATTAGTTTAAGATGAGTTAGGTACATTTGCCTTGGATGAAGTCAATTTGATACTCACTAATATATACACCCCTCTTTCAAAGCCAAATTTTGGGGAGCCATTTGGTCTTGCTGCTACCAAGGACCACACTTCTGCCATTAACTCAATCAATAATTTATACTCTGCATGATCCTAGGTCTGCCTGTCTTTCTTTGGTCTTAAACTACCTTGGGATTAATCCTCACACATATGGGGAGGGAGATTGTTACAGAATCACTATGGCTCCCGACCCTGCCTCTGGGATGGACTTAATGTTTCTGTAGCTGTTCCTCTGATGTGATTGTGATCTAAGAGGAAGAACTATGGGGTAGGGGTGTCCTGACATCTGGAGGTACAATCGGCTTTGCTTTCATGCAAGATGAGATTCGTAACCTCATGGGTGACCAGAATATCTCTGCTTCGGGTAATATTTCAGGACTGTGATATTTGAATGAATTCAATGTATGAACCTTGTGGCTACTCAGTGTGATTCTTAAATACCTTACCAGGAGTGGCCAGTTCCAGCTCTTTCCAGCTCTTTAGTACAGACTTCATCCCCACTCTCAAAGCTCTGAATCTCAGGGTCTCAGTGAGGCGGGGTGTGTGTTAAATTTGGGTTGAAGATCTCTAAA